GCTTCGTGAGTGTGTGTGGTCTGTGAGCTGCACAGAGCCCCACTCTCAAAGGGCCCAGTGCTTGGTTTAATGCCCGGCTGTCACCATTTTGTAATTCTTAATTTTTGAATAGGGGAGCTGCCTTTTTATTTTGCCTGGGACCCTACAAATTAGTTACCTGGTCCTACTATATAGTAAATTTTACTCAACGTTGCATGCGAAAAGTCAAACACAAAATAATACTTACTGTACGATTTCTTTAAGGTGGGAAAAATGAACCTGTAGTGTCGGAAATCAGGAGTGTGGTTGGCCTTGAGGAGGTGAGAGGGAGGGGGTCACAGGGATGTTTCTGGGGCACTTGTGATATTTCATTTCTTGATCTGGTTACTGGTTACATGGGTAGGTTTTCATTTTTTAACTTTATTAACAGAATACTTATGAAGTATAAATATTTCTGTATATTGTTATACTTCATTTGATGATTACATGTAAAAGTCCTCCCTTGTTGGTTTTGACATGGAACCAGCCTGGGAACAACTGGCCGGGTCTAAACAGACACGACCCTCGCTCTGATTAGAACACTTAGTCTTCCCGGCTCTGAGCCGTTTGGCCCCAGCTTCCTCTGGCCGGTGGTTTTCAGAACACTTGCTCTTTGACACAGAGTTCAGACAGAAGAGAGTGCATGGCTGGCCCAGCCTTGCTCTTTCACAGCTTCTAGAAAATGCCTCAAAGTTCATGCCTTTGGCTTGGTTCGGCTGTATCGCTTCTGTCTAAAATGAGCTTATTTATCTACTTTCTCAGTGAGAGCCATTCCTCCGTGTGGGGGCATATGTAACTCTCCAAGTGGGGATATTTGATGGACAGTGAAAGACTTGTCTACCCCAAATGCCACTTCTGTCCATCTGCCAGAAAGCTTCAAATAGTCTCTTCAGTCCCTTGAATTAAAGCTGTTATTAAAGTGCAAATATGACTTCCTGGTCATCAGACTTGAGTCCTGCGTGCAGCTGTTCATCATGCAGCCACTAAACGGTAAAATTCTCGGGGACGTTTCATTGCAAGGGGTCACGGGGGCAGCGGTGAGGGCATCTCAGAGCTGGGACGATCTGGAGCGTGGACTGCATCCCAGGGGAGAGCAGCTCGCCTGCCCTGAGGGTCCACACAGGGGAAGAGGGCAGCTGTGGGCCAGGGCAGGGCCCCAGCGGGGTCTGGCTGGTTCCATGGTTTCCTTCTGCCCCGGGTGTACCGCTGTGTGCACTAAACCTGAGGTGAAGCCTCAGGAAAGTGAAATGGCTTGAGAAAACCTCTCCGTGCAAATGAGAAGTTTGTATCTGTGTCAGGGTTTCGACACTGAGCTATTTGCATCCTTTGTAATGGTCAATACGTACTATCACAAAAAGGACCCGATCCCTCAGAGGGGGTCCTTTGGACTTCAAAGTAGAATTTCTTGGCAGTCAATATAAAATATAAATACTTCTAAAAAATGGGAATGGAAGTATTTTTTAAATAATTGAATTTTAAGAAATTATTGAAATCTTGCACTGACTGAGAGTTCAATGGTTTCTAGATGTTATTTTTAAAAAAGGAGGGAAGAATCTTTAACAGTGTTTGATGTGATCAATTATTTTTTATAAAACTTAAAATATTTCATAGATATTATTAGCCTTTCTGAAAACCCAGCTGTGATATGAAAATAGAAAAATTAATAATAATAGAAAATAAAAATGAAAAATATTTTCAAAATCCCAAGTGTGTTCAGAAGGATGCAACCTTAGCCTAGAGCTGTATTAGGTGCTTCAATTTTTTTAATATGAAAAGTAAGAATGAGTGAATTTTAAATGCGTATAAAAGGAAGTCAGGAATCTCAAAGTCAAGGATGATGATAGACATTTGATCAATATTAAATAATAGGTTGTTAGGTGCTCAGAAGAACCAATATGATACTCAGTCTGACTTAAAAGAGGACAGAAATGTCAAATAAATTTAATTTGTTTGGCCGCCTTTAAAGAAGGAAAAGCAATAGCTGTAAGATGTACTGACTTAAGTCCACCCTTAGATTCTCGACCTCTTTGGCAGTCTTGCACTAACTGTGAATAGAAGTCTTAGGTTATCCAGCTGTGGGGTAAAAGCAAAAATCACCAGTTAATTAATTGTCAGTGAACTTGGTAACATCCTCCCAGAGCCCAGATGTCCCCGTGTGACAAGGAAAACTAGGGGGTGGTCCCAGAACGTGAGCTTTGACGTCAGACCACCTCAGTTTGTATTTCAGTTTCCCGCTTACTAACTGTATAATTATGGGCAAGTTTCCTCAGAGAATTTTGGTAAATGGTGACAATAACACCATGTTGTTCGGTCACTTGGGCCCCAGATGAAACAGTGCAAGATCTTCGCAGCTGACTGCTAAACACTAGTCTCTCCTTCCATTTCGTTCAACAAGTGGATATTTTTTTAGAAGAACCATGATTGTTGCTCAATGCATCAGGCAGAGATCCTAGCCCTTTGTAGATAGCCAGTTGGCATATGCTGATGAAAATGTTTATGAAGAAAAACAGCCTTTAAAAAAAAAGTCTTATGTGCATCATTTAGGGATGTAAAACAATCACAGGCCTCGAGGAGATTTTAGAGCCTTGGAGGAAAGGGAATGTCTGGGGCTCAGGTAACAGAAGACGAAGGAGAAATTCAAGAACGGTTTCAAAGGAAACAGGACCTTCTCTAACAAGTGTCGTTTTGCTTCCTGCAGTGACATCGCTTCTGTAGTCAGACACCTCAGCCAGCAGACTAGTGTTTTTTGTTGGTTTGTTTGGTTTTGCTTGGTTTTGTTTTACAGTTTGGAAAATGAAATAATTATTTTCTGTCGAAGAAGGGGATTTCCATTTGCTTCAGACTGTGAGTGTGTGACTTATGCTTGGTGTGAAGCAGGTGCTAATTAAGGTTTGTCTTTCTATTCCTCAGAATTTCTCAGATACAGTTAGCATTGCTTTTATGGTCTCATTAAGGAAGACTGGGATCTGAAAGCTTGGTTTTTGTTCCCTCTCATGACTCTATCCGTTTCAGGCTAACATACTTTCCAGATGGTCCACATTATAGTTTAGGTCTCTGCACATCCGATTTAGGATCAAGCATGTTCCCAGTGAGAAGAGAGTTTCTGTGTGTAGGAGACGACAGTTCCTGCAGAGAAGGGTCCCAAACAGCAAGCCTCGGACAGTTTCCAGAAATGAAACCCCAGTGATTGATGTGGTGCTTTGAAGGAGGAGATAAACACGAAATGCAGTCGGAGTTTGGGGCGGGGTGTTGGGTAGTCAGCACAGAATTCATTGAGAACTTGCTTTTTATTTCACTCTGGGTTTTCAGCTGATTCATTTCATCGATCACCCTTCCTAAATCTCATTGCTCTCTCTTGGCTACATTGCTACCAGCCCACCTTCTACCTGAAAACCGACAACGCACTAGCTCACATCTAGGTTTTTTGAAAAGCAATTACTATATTTCTTATGGCCATCAGTTCACAATTTAACCAAAAATTGTGATAGCTTCTTGTTAACCCTCAGGAGAATGGCTCTATTTGAAACACTACAAGAGATGAAAAATGGAAACCGGGCATCTCACCCCACAGATTTGGGGTCTGGGAGGGGCGTGTCAGGGTCCAGGCTCTCCAGCAAGCAGAGCCTGAGGTCAGGCACTCTGTGCTGGTCGTATTCCAGGTCTGCCCGCACCCCAGGGTGCAGGAGCGAGGGACCCGGGAGCCAAGCAGGGAAGCAGAGGACGCCTCATGGAGCTGGCTGCCGCTAAGTACAGCTGATTGCTTCAGACAAGGGACAGCTGATAAAGCACCGGGGGCACCGGGCCCGCTCTGGGGAGTGTGAGCAGGGGAGCCCAGCAGCGTGAGACACAGTGCCGGGACTGACTGTGTGAAGGTGGTCGGGGCCCACATGGATCCAAGGATGGAGGATCTGATGCAGTGTGGGAGGTCGTCTTTCATGGGGGTACAGTAAGTTCATAAAAAGTTTGATATTCGACATGAGGCAACGGTTGAGAAATATGAAGTGATAGGAACATCCGACACCGACCCTGAGACGTCAGACCGTCAGCCTGTGGAAGTTCAGGTGTTCCAGTGTCAGCACATTAGCAGGACGACCTGAGTAAAGTTACTTCACTACTCACGGCTCATCCTCTCACTTTTTCAAAACTACTCAAGGAGGCATCTCCTGGCCGCACCCTGCAGAACAGCCCCCTCGCAAGCTGTCCCCTGCAGATGACTGCCCCAGCCTGCTGTGCGTTTCTCATGTTCCTACAATCGTATGAGGTCATAGTGTACATTTGTTTGCCCCTTTACTTATTATCTCCCCCCCCTCGTTAGAATGTAAGCCAAATAGGGCCAAAGTTTGTGCGCTTTGAGTGACGCTAAGACCCAGGACCTAGAATGGTGCCTGGCAAAACAAAGGCTCTCTGAACAGTCACTGACACGTTTCCTCACTGAGTACGTACAGTGAAGGTATCTGTTCAGCTGATTCCTGTGAAAATCAAATGAGAAGATGATGAAGGTGGCCCGCTAAGGCTTTGCGCGTAGAAGACCACCAGTGAATGCTAGACTTCTCCCCATTTCCTGATGCCCACCGTGTACCCCAGAGGCAGAGGTACAGTTGGAGCGCTAGAGCTCAGACATGTTAAGAATTCTGCACGTGGACCAGCTGAGGATTACACACAGGAACCCACAGTGTGATTTCTACCCTCACCCACAGAGGGGAAAAGAGGGGGAAAAAGGCACCTTAAACTTTGTACAGTAGCCGCCGAACACCTTCAAATGTATGTGCTTGTGTCTCAAAATCATACATGGAGAACTTTGTGGTGTAAACACCACGAGGAGAGGGCTCTGGTCTTTTAGTCCCCTTGCCCACAAATGCTCCCTGGAAATACCCATTCTTTCTTCCTGAAGTCTCGTGTAAAACTTAGCACTCTTTATTGCACTTTTTGAAGTTGAGTGCAACATCATAGCTTGCAGTGAGCCTGGAACAGCGTATAAAACCACGTGTGCTCAGTTCTAAGTGCACGTGTGGCTTTACAGTAGCAGAAGCAATGGTTACAGGGTTTCCTCCCTGAAGGCCCTTTCTTGATAGACCCCAAATTAATGCAGACTAGGATCATTTCATTGTATTCTATTACTGACTATGTCAATAATTCCGTGTGGTTTCTCTCTATCGGAGACTTTGGGGAGCGATTTTGCTGGAAATGAGACATACATTTACTAATATACAATACTTGTCATTTCACAATGGTGCATTTTCCAAAAACAGAAGTGATTAAAATATTTTTCAGGATAATTCATAGCTTACTAAAACCCCTAGAAAGGGCCTGGACACTTTTAAAATGTAACGACGTGAGTCAAGGGGGTGAAGTTCCTGATAGTAACGAAGCCTTTGTGATGCTTCTCCCACTGATGTGTCCGGCTAAACGTCTGGCGATTTCCGCTACCCTTCATTCAGATTTTGCTCTAAAACACACCTATTTTTTCATTCACAGAATCTGATGGAATCTTTCTGAGTCCTATTCATTTTCTAAAATCAGGACATGTTCCTTTTTTTAAATGATAACTCTTTTCTGTGTTTTCCCTTTAATAACATTTAGAGGCAAAAGACATCCCCCTTCTCTGCAAAGGCTCTTCCATCCAAGTTTGATTTTTTTTTTTTCAATAGAATATCTCAGCAGAGACTGCTCTGTGTGTACAGTCTTGGCATTTTAGGGCAGGGGAACGGAATACCCTCCTCTCTGCTGTCTCCTGTCCCCTCTCTTCAGCGTCCTCCTCCCCGGCCAGGAGGCAGCTCTGCTGTGGAGGCTGCACAGGGCACTGGGGCTGATAGGCCAAGGCAGCAGCTCGACCTGGAGGCAAACGCCGTCCTGTCCCCCGTCAGCCTGTGAACACTGCTGATGGATCACGTGCCTTTGTTTCCTCGGAAAAGGATGTAGAATGTCTCCACCCTCTGTTTCCTGGGCAGAAGACAGAAATACCCAACTTACAGGGCTGTCAGTATGATTAAAATTAAGGAGTGCAAAGTTCTCGCCCGCTCTTCAGTTTTCTCCCCAGTCACGTTGTAAATCTGGTGAAACCTGAGGCTCTGTATGTTTCGTCACCTTTGGTGTCTGTCCTCAGCTTCGAGAGCAGTGGCAGGACTCAGTGCAGAGTCACACAGTGGGCAGCACAAGTGGTTACAGGCTGGTCAACATCTAGGGCATTTTCTTGGGCCATTCAGCAGAGCTTGGAGGTTTTTTCTAGGCGAAATATTCTGCTTTCTTGCTGACAATGTAGTTTCCATGTGGTCAGTGGGTCTGTCTGTCTTGTTCCCTCTCTCTCTCTCCCCCACTTCTCTGTCTTCTGCCCCTTTCATGTGCCTTTTCTGAGTAGGTGATTATTCTGCCTCTAAATTCATCCTACAAGGAAAGCTTTCATCAGTATCCACTCCCCACATCTCTAATTTAGGCACAAAGAATATTCCAGGATGCCCAGACTAACTGCCCAGAGTTCTCCAGTTACCTCTAAAAACAGTCTTCATAAAGAGACCTGTCACCAGTGTTCACGGTAAGAATTAAGGTAGATGAAGTCCATGAAAACAGCACCATCCCTGGCACATATCACACTGTCGATAATTAATAATTATCAGTTACTAATGAATCACTTCTTTCGTATTGCCTTTCATCCACAGACCGGAAGAATTTTTAAATAACTCAACTGATATCTCTTCTCTGCAATTAATGTAAAACATTGATAGCCCTCTGATCACGAAACATAGAAAATAGTATTTTGGTAGAGCAGTAAATAAACCGTGTTCAACTTAAGCTGGAAGCTCTGACTCATGCCAACAAAAGGAAATGGTGGCATGAAGAATTCCAAGAAGAGCAACATGCGATAACTGTATTAAGTGTATTGGATTTGGGAGCGTACGAGATGACTCATCTGGCTTTGTCTGGTGTGACCTGGCATGTGCTGAATCAGTTTACATGTCTAGCTGAGGACTGAGTTAAAGGACATTAAAACGCCATCATCTCCTTTTCTTTGTGACCCACAACACTGGGAGTCTGCACCACTAATTTGGCTAATCACGTGCTGGGCTATGGTGAGCGTCTTACACTGTCATTTCCTCTGCAATACCTATCTTCTCAACTGAACTGTAGGCACCTTGCGGACAGGCCAAGATCTTAACATTAGAATACACTCTTTTCTTCCTGCCACCCCCATTACGTCACTGGTTGGTATTCATCTTGTTTGTATAGAATAAATGTGGAAAGTATATTTGTTTATTGGTTGCATAAAAAGGGGAAGGAAAGAGGTAATAAAATGGGGCTGAAATCTTCTGAAATCAGTTTGTAAACTGAATGAAACTTTGGCAGATCGTCTGACTCAGTGCAACTAGGTTGCCCTGGGGACATAAACCGTTCGAGGACCACCTTGACTTCCCCCATCCCTAGAAACCTTCTCCGGCTCTCCCCTGTGTGCCCTGGGGAGAAGTCAGGAAAGAGGTTGGCAGGAAAATGAAAGGGCGTTGATGGCTGAGGCGGTTTTTCCAAGGAAGGACCCCCAGGGCTTGGAGACCGAGAGGATGACCTCAGGTGTGTAAGAGGCAGTGCCATGGTTCTACTGACAGAAAGGCCTGGTGGGAGCCGGGCAGAGATGACCCCCAGGTGATGCATCTGGCTCTAGGTGTGCGCGAGTGACCGTGGAGTCCGTTCTGTCAGAGAAGATCATTGTGACGGGGCTGATTCATCCCTGGGCTTCATCTCCATCAACAGATCCAAGTGCTCTTAGGAACCTGTACGTGCCACCCATAAACCACCTCCTGTATTTTTTAAAAAATATTTTCTGTTTCTTAGCATGTCCTACTTTATTTTTTTTCCCAGGTGGGAGGTAATTAGGTTTATTTATTTGCTTATTTTTAATGGAGAGACTGGGGACTGAACCCAGGACTTTGAGCATGCTAAGCACGCGCTCTACCACTGAGCTCTGCCCTCCCCGAGCACGTCCTACTTCAGGAAAATGTAAAAATACAGTTCAGTCCCAGTGAACTCCACATTATTACTTATAGGCCATTTATTATGCCATTTATAGGGTATATGAATGCTGGACAATAAAATTTTTTTAAAAAATCATTGTAATTATGTTACGCTATAAAATGCACCATGTCAGCCATTAAAGTCTAAACAAGGCGGGCTCTCGTCCTACTTAGGGCTAATCCTGCCAAACACTTGTGATGACAGCAAGGGGCAGGCTACAAACATCCAAATAACTTTTTCCTCCTTGTAATTGGACTTCTCTGCTGCATTATTCATACCTTTCTTTGATTTTATGTTTCTTAGCTTTTTCAAAATGTGTGCGCGGTGATGATGTGCTGCCAGTCACTGGCAGGCTTAAAGGCTGTTATCTTCTACAAATACCCCATACTTTAGAGTTAAATTAGACAAAAGCATTCATTTTCAATTGTAGCAATCACCTCCTATTTTAAAATCTTACCTCTTATAATTGTATGCAAGTAAAACAATAAACAAACAGGTAGCTAAACAGAATAATCTTAGTAATAAAATTGATCTTAGAAATTTTATAATCCTTTTCTATCATTTTATAAGAGAGTAAAATGGGATTAAAATGGTTAAGCAATTTGCCAAGACTACTAACAGGTTAGATAAACCGAGACCAGAACCTGGATCTCTTGGCAGTGACCGTGCCTCTCACGAGAACACCAGGCAGCGCCTTACAACGACACGCATTTATCTACTTGTGTCACCGATCTAAGCAGACATCACCATCACCACTTTTTCCTTTCACTCTCATTGTCACTTTCTCATGACCTCATCGTAGACCAGAGGACAGCAAACCACAGCCCACGGGCCACATGTGACCCACTACCTGTTTCTGTAGAGCTCATGAGCTAGGGTTAGACTTTACATATTTCACAGGTGGTAAAAAAAAAAAATTCAGAATAATACAGTGATGTCTGAAAATTACAGGCATACTTTGGAGATATTGGAGATTCGATTCCAGACTACCTCAATAGTCAATATCCCAGTGAAGTGAGTCTCACACATTTTTTGGTTTCTCTGTGCATGTAAGAGTTATGCTTACACTGTACTGTAATCTATTAAGTGTGCAATCACATGTCTAAAAAAATCTTATTTGGAAAACAATGTATTGCTGAAAAATGCTAACCATCATCTGACAACACAGGGTTGCCACAAACACCCAATTTGTGAAAAACACAGTATCTGTGGAGGGCAGGAAAGCAAAGAACAACAAAACGAGGTGTGCCTGTGGAGGAAATTCAGTCTTCAGTGCCCACAAATAAAGCGTTAGAAGAACACAGCCACGCCCGTTTGTTTATCGATTGTCGGTGGCTGCTTCTGAGCTGAAACAGTGAAGTAGTTGTACAGGGGCTGCATGGCGCTCAGATCCTAAGAGATTTGCTTACTTTCTGATCCTTTCAAGACATTTGACAGAAGAAAATGAAAATACTGCATCAAGATCAAAGGCAGGTGTTTTCAAGGGTTTACAATCTCAGTATGAAAGATGAAGAAACACCCCATGATGTAGAACAGATACATGTATTAAAAATATGAAGGCTGATGACTGGAAACTTGTCTAGTTTCTGCAGTAACATGTGGCTCAGAGCCTGAGTCAAAATCAAGACCCACCACGTGGACCTCAGCGCTGATGTGGACCAGTCAACACCAGCAAGGGCGCCCAGTCCACCGTGATTCTGGTCCAGCTGGGAATCTGGTCACTAGCCTTTGCGCCTCGCCCAGAGCCTCTGGAGGGAAAATTAGCAAAGACCTTTTCCAGAGCCTGAGTTACTTCACAAGGTTTGTATCAAACAGCTGTCCCTACCCTCCTCATATCCAATTATAGCCATAACAGTAGAAACTGTATATCGGAAAGTCAAAATTCCCCACGCACCCCCACGCCCCCTCCCAACCCTGTAACTTTCCCACTGGGGGAAGAGGCGACGATGGTGAGGCCCCCCCCCCCACCGTGCCCGCTGCGGCGGGGCTGATGACCAACTTACCACCACCCACAGATGGCCTTCGCTGTCACGGCCAGGACATACCATACTCGGTTTTGAGAATCCACATCTCAAAGTATCTTCCTAAACTCATTTTTACTGCAGAGTAGGGCACCATTATATAACACAGCGCTGGGGAAGAAAGGCATACTTGTTCGACATAAATTATTTTCCAGATTTTTTGCATCAAATTAATCCGTGTCTTTGAGTTCTGAGCAGATTGTGAATGTAAAAACTTATAGACAGCAATGTAGAAATGTTTCCTATTTTAAAAAAATCAGTGGTAGTGATAAACAGGAAAGTGGAAGTTCATATCAAACTAATTTCTAAATTTTTTTTCTCTTGTGGAACATTTTTTTTTTTTGTGGGACAATCTCATATTATTCTTCTGTCTTAAAAGTTATATGTTCTTTTGGCATAAATGTGTTATAGGAAAGAACATTACAAAAATAGATGAAATAATTGCTAGCAAATAATTTTCAACTTACACTCCCAAGTCCCCATCCTGATTGACGTTTCGCTTACTTTAAGACACCGCTGGTAATGTTAACCGCAAAGCAGCTGGGCTCATTTTGACCTCTGCATTTAGGCCAAAATCAGTTCATCGTGTGCAGTAGCAGTTTGAGCTTGCCAAGGTCTGAAAGCCCACGGGTGCTGCTGTTCCGTGTGTACGTCTGCCGTGACTGTTGCTATATGGCCATGTGCTCTCCTGTCCTTGACTGTCATACGCTCTCCTGTTAAAAAACAGAATTCAGTTGTGTCACTTTGAAGATCTCGCTGGCTTTATTCAACCTTCATGGATCAGGCAGCATCCCTTTGAGCAGGTGGAAAGGCGCTTGGAGGAGCTGTAAAAATGGAAGGTGTTTTAAGGCAGGAGGGGGGCACGACAGGGGAGTCAAAAACAGAAGAAAAGATAGTTTCAGGCAGGGTCACCTTCCTGGGGAGGGAGTGGACGGGTCTGTTGTGCAGATTACCTCACTGCTGTTGATCAGGAAATTCCAGACTGAGTGGAACTTTAAAATCCCTCTCCTGGGAGAGGATGACGCTGCAGTGGGGGGGGGGGTGTTAAGCTTGGTTTGCTGCTGTGGGGCTTCGCGCTGGAGTGGGTTAGCTGCTGCCGTCCAAAAGGGATCGGGGATCCTGCTCCCCACAACCTGGGAGCGTGACGTTATTGGGAAAAGGGATCTTTGCAGTTTGAATTAAGGTAAGGAACTTGAGATGAGATCACCCCGGATTTTCCAGTGGGCCCCCAATCCAGGGGCAAGTGTCCTCATAAGAGACACTCAGAGGGAAAAGGGAGGTGAACCCGGAGGCAGAGGTTGGAGTGACAGGGCCACAACTCCCAGAGCACCAGGGCAGCCCCAGAGGCTGGAAGAGGCCAGGAGCAGGTGTCCCCCTGAGTCTTCAGAGGAGGCACAGTCCTGCGGCGTCTCGGACCCCAGCCCCCAGGCTGTGTGGGAGTCCATTTCTGTAGCTTTCAGCCACAGTGTTTGTGGGCAGTTGCAGTAGCCACAGGTAACGAATCCTTCCTCTGCATTGTTGTCAGTGCAGGTGGGAATTCTTAGACCTTTCATTATTATCAGATCTTTGAAAAATATGTAACATTTATATCTGACCTGGAAGAAGAAACTAGATGTACAACATTTTAAGAAGAATCAATAGGATTTGGGGATTGCCTGCATTCGGGAGAGGGGAAGAGGGCATTGTCATCCAAGATAAACACGTTCATTCGTTTTGCTGAGTGAACAGGTTTTATTCGGTAACTACTGATAGTCGGGGGAGGCGGTGGCGGAGGCGGAGGAGGGTAGCTGAGCTCCAGTGTGACTTGTGCAGAGGTGACTGGGCCGGCAGCTCCAAGGCAGGATTCCCTCCTCCACCAACACCCAGACCCGCAGACAGAGGCCGCACCCATCCTGCCTAGTGCATTCCAGGGGCAGGGCTCTCCGGTCCTGGCGAAGGACCTTCTAAGCTGTGAGAAACACACTCTCCCAAGTGTAAGCCCTTTTTAATAAACGCTCTGAGAAAGGGAGGTCCGGGGACTGTCTCTGGGTGCTGGCTAACAGTAAATTCCCCTGGCAGCCTTGAGCTTCCTTGGGTGGGCATTTTAACGGGGGCTGGGACCATCCTAAGGAACAGGCGTCTTGTGGCTGGAAGCCATGCTGGAGTTTGGGCCCCTCTCCTGGCGCAGGGGTTTGGGCAGAGTCGTGACGGGCTGAGAGTTCTCAGGGTACAAGTGACCTGAAGGAAGTGCTGATGGAGGGGACGATGGTGTCTGTGCCGGGGAGCAGAAGGCTCTGGGTCACTCTGGCCTTTACTGTCTTGATGGCTAGAACTGTTTCCATCTCAACAGATTTTTTTTTTCTTCAAACCACGTGGCATATCTATTTTTCATGCCATGTGAGTGAGGGATGTCAGAAGGCGAAGGTAGTCAATGAGTTGCTTTGGGAAAAGTAAGTTTGAGCTGGCAAAGATTATATTGAAAATGAGATTAGAATGGGGTATTAATTTTCTATTCCAGCCCCATATAACCACACCTGTGGTATAGACACTCCACCTGCATGTATACGTGGACTTCTTTTGCTAGAACTTACTTCCACGCACATATCCAAAGAAAGAGTCTACTGATTGGAAGTTCTTTGCAAATGGTCTGTCAAAAGCAGGCACTCAACAAATATTAGTTACATGAGTAAATAAAAGAAATTAAAGCACCGTTCCAGTGAAATAAAGTCCTGTCTCGTTATATATTCCCTTCCTTCTGTTTAGTACATTTTTTTTGCAATTAATATTTTCTTAATGATAGATTTTAAATTGTAAATTCTCCATTAATAGACAAGACTATAACTTGTGGATTTGAAGATATGATCCTTTTGAAGTGTCTGGAAAAAAAAATCAATAGGAAAGTAGATTCTACAGCTAACAAAAGAATAGCAAGCAATCACACCAAGTTCTTAGCTCTACTGTAGAATATTTTAAGATGAACCAAGCTCGTTTTTTTCAGGGAGATTAGACCATAGAATTATTATTATCATTATCATTGCTTCACATCTAAGTATTAGCAACATTTTTTTCTTGATATGCACTGATTTTTCTGTCATGATAATATTATAATTTTAGGCATGATATAACACTAAAATCAACTGATTAAGTGTAACTTCAGCAATTTAAAATGTGACCAGCAAGTAAGAAGCAGGGGTGCTTTTATTAACTTTTAGAAACATAGGCAATGCTGTTTCTTGTTGTTAATGAACTGAAGTATGAGAAGAGAGATGCAACTAGCCCACATGGTCCATTTTAATTGTGCCCACATGACCCAGGCTTTTCGGCATGTGAAGACACCATAATATTTCAAATAGGAAACTCTGGACAGAAGCCTTACTTAGTCTGACTAATCAAAGCACATCTGTGTTATAGGTAAAATTGAAAGGCACAACTAACCAGTCACCCATTCCATACAGAGCTGCCTGCAGGCCACCAGCTGTCATCTTGGGACCCCTCAGAGAAGAGCAATGTTCTTCCTCCTCTGAGGGGAGCAGGGATTAAAATAATCCCTGGGGATGACTCTCCCAGCCAACAGAGACAGCATTTCACCCTAGAGAATGCTGTTTCAGGCTCACTCTGGAGCAGAAGGTTTTTGGGCTCCGTTAGTGTTATAAAGGGAATGGGCAGAGAGGGATGTTCAGCAAGCAGAAGGCTCTGGGTCACTCTGGCCTTTACTGTCTTGATGGCTAGAACTGTTTCCATCTCAACAGATTTTTTTTTCTTCAAACCACGTGGCATATCTATTTTTCATGCCATGTGATGTTGGACTACTAACTAACATCAAAATCTTGACAATGATTTCAGAATAAGTACCATCTGATTTTCTGCCTGTAAACATAGAACCAATATTAAATAATAAGGGGAATCATGTTTCTGCTGTACAGTCTAATAGCCAGTGTGTGGACAACCAGAAATAATTTGCAATTAATATCTGCTTAATGATAGAAGATTTTTGTAAGGATTCAACTGCTTTGTCAAATAACTTTTGCAATGACAACCCTGTAGTTCTTTCGTTCCATTATCAGTACCTGCTTTATACATTCCCATAGAGAAATGTATGTATGAGAAAGAATGATGGCAAATATGGTTCTTAAACTCAATTCATGAGTTTCAGATCCTGGGCAGTTTGTTACATGCTGTCTACTGAGTGGCTTTCTACCAACCTGATCATCGGATGCTATACAAAAACTTGTCTAACTGATATCTGGTAGCCATTTAACACACATTAGATGTTAAGGTCATGAATGAGTTGCTTCTCCATGAAGTTTTATCTTCACCTTTATCATTTCACACCTTGGCAGTAGACTTGAGTTCACTTCAGGTGGTCATTACCTGAAATCACACTTGGACTACTGATAATGAACCTGACAGGAGAGACTATGCAAGGTGTAAAAGTAGCAGTATTAATAACACAGCACCAATGTTATTTTTCAGACTGAGTCTGCTAAGACTGCTTTGAGCTGATATTCTGCTTGTGTGACCTATGTCTAAACGCACTAAAGTCAAATTGATGTGTTAAATCAGTGTGTACACACACACACACACACCTCTCCAGCTCAACTGAAAATGTGTGCCATTTGGAAAAGTCTCTTATTCATTTGAAATAAGAAGAGAGAGACCTCCTCATGCTCACGTGAGCCCTCCTTGCAGAACAGGACATACCTCTTCATCGGTGGCAGAACTGCATGGAAGCCAGTGGTTGGCAAACTAGGAGCCATGCACAAAATTCAGCCCACAACCTGTTTCTGTAAATCAGCTTTTATTGGAGTACAAGCAGACTCATTCATCTATGTGTTGTCATGGTTGCTTTCATGCTACCACGGAAGAATTAAGTAGTTCTGAAAGGGAACATATGGTCCATAAAGCCAAAAACACTTACTATCTGATCCTTTACAGAAAAAAGGTGTCAACCCCTGATCTAAGCAAATGCACATTAGTATTAGCAGTGGCCCTAGAGACAGTCTGACCTTCGGGAAGAAACTCTTTCTAAATGTATATAAACTCTGGTATCTCAGGGCTTGAGAGCTTCCATTTTGAAGCTGTTGAGTAAAGGAGAAGGAAGAAAGGAGAAACAGATGGATGAGTTTGGTGTTTCGGAGCACCCCAGAAGAAACAGGCAAACTAGTCAGAGTTTTCAAGCAAGAATAATTCTTGAATCACCGAATCAGAAGAAACCTAGAGATTACTTTACGCTGTGATTACACTCTGGAGAGAGGGGATGTGTATTCGTAAACGTATATTGAGAACCTCGTTTCATCTCTTCTAGTCACTATTTATTATAAGAAGTACCACTAACATTTAAACAAACAAGCAAAAACACTTTGTGTATTTTCTAATAGTTTAAATCTGGTATATTTGGTGAATTTATATGGAGGATTTAAAAAATTCCTTGAGTCAAATTACAGAAAGCATATACCAACAGCTTTTTTTTTTTTTTCATTCTGGTGAAGTTCTGTGGAAGATACGATCCATCTTATAGCTTCATCTGGAGACTCTTACCCTCAAAACTATGTCAGGAAGTTTACATATGAGTTGTTGGGATAGTGAGGGGTGGGGGGCGTGGAGTACAGGCATGGTGGATGTAATTAGACTTTTAAACTTATTACAAAAAGGAATGCATTTTAAAATATAAAGAATGCCTACTATTGTTTAATCTATTTTGGGGGAAGAAAGAGCTTTTCAGAGAAGGATGATGTGATCATTGACTCATCCAGTTGGTGGGAGAGCCGGTAATACTCAGACCACCAGATTTCAAATCTGCTGCATTTCATTTTGTCTACTGTTTCCTAATGGTTTATAAAAGCTACGAAGTATTGTTGGATATTGTATGATTTACGCTTAGTGTGTGAGAAGGTTGAGAAAACTAACTAGAGAATACTCCTATATGTTACTCCCTCAACAAACCACATTAAATTTATGGATTATTTTGGGAAGAACTGATACCCATACATTAGGTGCTCTCCTTGGTGAACGGAGTAGGTGTATATCCCTTCATTTAATCAAATCCATTTCAAGATTCTTTAATGGAATTTTATATTTTTTTGATAAGTTCTCTTTGGTCTCTTGGAATGTATGTAGATAAGCCTGTCATCTTTAAGTAACACCTTTTCTCTTGTCTCTATTCCATGATAATCCTTACAACTTTTGTTTCTGATTCTTCTCTTATTGTATTGTCCAGGACATTTGGTAACACACACTAAACAGGAGGAATGATATTAAACATTGTTGTTTTGTTCCTGACATTAAAAGAAAT